GCTACCGGTGAATTACGCCTGGTGTTAGACTTTCCTGCTCAATAGGTTATGAGAGCCCAACCTACCTGGGCTGCGCCATCTGTGAATGGGATACCGCCACCTTTGCAAGAAGCAGATGTTGGGACATCTCAGTCCACGGATGTGACGGGGAATATGACCACGCCGGATGGGCTGGCGGAGCGGCAGACTGATGTAGTGATGGATCAGGCTGTTCAATCTGCAGATGAGCCGGAGGCGCCTACAACGTCCAATGCCCCTGCCAATGGGAACGAATCTGCGCCCCAGCAGGAGCGATCACGAGGATTGGCTACGACTGGTGTGCTGGACGGAGACCATGGCGAGGGAAGTGCAGCGCAGGCAGCAGTGGTTGGAGGAGCTCGTGCAATGGAGTTTCTCACCCCGAGATCCGCTATGACTACAGTTACGGCCACCCAGAACAACTGGATGAGTGGATTGGAGGTACCGCGCTGGGTGACCCGACTGGGGAGTTATCTGGCACAAGGACGGGGAGATCTAGCTCCAAGTCCACTGGGGGGCTCTATGGCGTCGTCGCAGTCGCCACCGGGAGGACCTGCATTTCGGCTGAGGTCTCCGACTCGAACAACGCGGCCGGTACCGCCGCCTACACCTCCGAGTTCGGATATCTCAGCTGAGGCTATACAAGCCGAGGTACAGCGACAACTGGGTGGGCTCCTAGGGCGTCTTCAGGTTGCGGAGAGCCGGAATGAGGCCTTGATGAATGAACTTGGGGAAGCGCGTCGAATCCTAGAGGTTGCCAGGACGGATCGAGTACCTGACCGGCACGGTTCAACAGTACCAGCTTGGGATCATCTTGGAGGGGTTCCAGGTTTTCCAGGGCAAGGCAGCTTATGGGGACAAGGAGGGCAAGTTACAGGGGATCTGCTACACTACAGGAACCACATGATCTACGAGGCCGCCCCAAGGAACCTCCAGCTCCCCCGACACTATTGGAAGATCTCCTGACAGCTCCATCAGGTCCCAGCATGTTTCTGGAAGAACCCCGACCTCCTGAACCTGATGCAGCAGGAACGAGATCTACACCTCAACCGCCTCCTTTGCCTGAAGCCGTTGTGAGGTCACTCCTGGGCCAGAGGACAAGGAGCGAGACACCACCGCCGAGGACATCTTCGCCTGGAGCTCATGGGGATTCTCCGGCTATGAACGCACCACTAAAGGGGGTGCAGCAACTTCAAGAACTACAAGCAGCAGCTATGACGAAGAGTCAATCTCCTGCGGCGGAGGTTATCAAGCCGGGAACCACAACCCTAGCTCAGCTACCTGAACTTATTCCAGGTGCGGAGACGGCGATGAAGTTTCAGGATTGGCTGGAACTGACTACGGCAGTAATGTGTGATGTCAGCGAACAGAGCGGTAGCTGGTGGCGACGAGTCCTTCAAGAGGTTGAGGGCACCTACAGACGATGGCTAGGTAGCACGCCGCTTGAGGGCTTGAGCGTTCAGCCTGCTGGTGAAGAGTTGTCAGTAGAGCGATGGCTGAGGCTGAATGCCAGGGTCTCGGCGATGCTGCTGGGTGCAATGTCGCCGGAACAACAAGCAGAGATGGTCTCGCATCGCATTTCCACCAGCGTTGTCAAGATGTTATACAGACTACATACGCTGTACCAACCAGGCGGTAGTCATGAGCGAGAAGACATTTTGAGGAAATTGCAGAGCCCAGCCGACAATCTTGCCAGCAACACTTTGCCAGAGTTGCTTCGTGTGCTACGCTCTTGGCCGCGATGGATACCGAGGTGCGCCTCGCTGCAGATGGTGCCCCCGGATTCTTCAGTGTTGGCAAGAGGGTTGAAGCAGTTAACCTCAACCCACCTGGAGCAGTCCCAGGACGCGGCTTTCCGGACGGCAATGGTGAGAACAAGCTTGAGGCTGGACGGACAGCCCCGAATGGAGGATGTGTACGCGTACCAGCGGCACCTACAGGCGGAGATTGAGAACCTACTGGCCAGTCGCCCAGCCGCCACTACAGCAACGGGCCAGGAGCAGGGGACAGGGAGAAGGGCAAGGACAAGGACAAGGGATCTCCAACTTCTGAGCTGTGTCGGTACTTCATGAAACCCTCAAGATGCAAACGGGGCACGAAGTGCACCTATAGCCATAGCATGGCCACCTTGGACCGCGAAACCAGGAACAAGAAGTGCCTACTTTGCGGAGCAGAAGGGCATCGACAGAGGGACTGTACAGTGGGCAAGGGTACAAGATCTACAACTACCCCCAGCTCCCCAGCTAATAAGGACCAGAGGCTTCAAAGAACGGAGCCCGCAGGAACTTCTTCAGTGACCACAGCCACGCCGAGCTCGACCTTGGATAGTACCTCAACGGCATCTGTGAATTCTGTGCAGGGCGTACCATGGACCCTGGAGAATCTTATCCAAGCGGCCCAACAGGTGGTACAGAACCAAGGTTCAACTGCCAATGGGGACAGCTCACCGGAGAAGACCAAGGCTGAGCTGAGGACCATGAGGGTGCAGGATGTGAGGATCTGCAGTGTCCGATCGTCGTCAGCGGCTCTTCTGGATTCTGGCGCAACCCACTGCTTACGCAATGCCTACGACTACGATGAGTGGAATAGCAGTGAGAGCGTACTCGTCCACCTCGCGGGCAATAACCAGTTGGTGATGAAGCTCTCAGAATCAGGTTCGTTGCTTATGCCCCCGAGGTCCTCAACAACAACCACGTCGACCACAGAAGCAACAGCAGGCCAAACAATAGTCCCAATGGGTGAACTGGTCCGCACTTTGGGGTACACGTTGATTTGGGGTCCAGGAGAGTGCTGCCTAGAAGACGCAGAGGGCACCAGGACTTCCTTGAATGTGTCGACCGGTTGCCCCCAGCTGTGCGAGGCTGCGGCTTTAGCTTTGATAGCGAAGCTAGAGGACAAGAAGCGCGAGCGCCTGGAAAACGAGACTATGACCACCTTGGATGCAGTGAGCCTAGCAGCGATGACAATGGATAAGAGTTGGTGGGACTACGTGAGGGACTATGTGGATACGGGGTCGCATGAAGCAGCCCTAAGAGGACTCCGCGATGCACCTTTTCTACAAGGGATACCGGGCGAATGCCTAAATGGAATGGTACAGGAGGGCATTTGCGAGCGTGGATGGGATGTGATGAAGAAGGTCGACTTTCTCAGCCGACCTCAAAAGCGGCGCGTTTGTGGACGGCGAAGAGGTGGATTGTTCATCTCTACGCGGGAGCGGTTGGACATTACCAGATGTTCCAGCTTGATGAGGGCGACACGGCGGTGATTGAGTTGGACCTGGAGCGGAACAAGGCCCACGATATACAGAGAGACTCCACATGGCGGATGTTAATGTGGGGAGCCTTGACGGGAAGAATCGAAGCTGTGGTCGGTGGACCTCCAGGTCGCAGTGGACTTCCGCGTTGGGATCAGAAGGCTACAAGGAAGGATGTGAGGAACTTGGCCCTGGTTGCGCGGATGTTGTGGCTCTACGCGGTCGCCGAGGCGGCAAGGACTACGAGCTCAGCGGTTCCCCTCAATCGCCAAAGGCCGGTGGCTTTCATGGTTGAGCACCCTGCGGAGGAGAACTGGGTTGATGGTCATACTTCAACAACGTCGCTTTGGACAACCCCCACCTGGAGGGCTTTCGCAGAGGAGATGGGCATGGCTTCGGTGACTTTTGATCAAGGTGTTATGGGAGCTACAACCACAAGTGTTACAACTCTAGGAACCAATATCTACTACTTGATGGGCCTGGACGCCATGCGGAAGGAGAGCGTAGACGATGAAGCATGCGCAAAGCCCGTGGCTAGTACCTGGTCAAGTGGACTTGTTGATGCTGTGGCGCTAGCTCTGCAGCTTTGGAGACGTCATCCAAAAGAAATACCAAGGATGGCTGCCCTAACAGCTGCACAGTGGAAGGAGCACGTAGCCTCGGGCCATGCCAAGTATCATCGAGAGTGTCTGACGTGCGTTATGTCCAGAGGGACGGGCCGAAGGCATGCCAGAGTGAGGCACCCAGACATGTTCACGTTGACCACGGATGTTGCGGGACCCATCAAACCCGGCCTAGATGTGTCTTCGAAAGGAGCCCTCGGAAAAGGCCTTCGATATTTCCTAATCGGGAAGTACACACTACCGCGGGAGTATGTGAAGGCCTACTCCGGCAGAGAACCACCTCGTGATGATGGGATGGGAAGGCCACAAGAAGCTAAGGCTACAGATGGCGAGGAACTTTCTGGACCTTCTCTACTACCACCACGTGATGAAGGGGATGTGTGTGAGGAGGAGCCACAAGAAGCTAAAGCTACAGATGGCGAGGAACTTGCTGGACCTTCTCTACTACCACCAGGTGATGAAGGTGATCCGTTTATTCTGGATGACGATGAGTCAGGTGAGCAGGTTCCCATGTTAGACACTGACGATGAGCCGGGTGAGCAAGGTCATAAGACTGATGTAATAACTCCACCTGAAGATGGGGCAGAGAGTTTATTGGGAGTACGACGGTGCAGCGGGAGGAATTCGAAGACTACGAAGACAGTATGTATGAGCCGTCAGTCGTGGACACCGAGGAGGCCGGCGAGGGTGACCTAAGGGGTGTCGAGTCGCAGCGGTCAACTATTCAAGATTGTGAACCTCCTGAAGCTACAGTGCTACTGTTCGCGAAGCCGTTGAAAAACAACACCTCAGCTTCGGTTAAAGCAGCGCTGCAAGATATAGTTCTGTACCTCGAGACCCACAACTTGCCTGTCTATCGGCATCATGCGGATCATGGAGAGACGTTCAGTCATGGCATTAGGTCCTGGTTCCGCGAGCAAGGAATACGAGCCACCTGGTCGGAAGCAGGAGTACCACAAGGGAATGGACGAGCGGAATCCGCAGTCCGGTGGATAAAGGACCGCGCTAGGACTTTGCTGGTCGGGGCTCGAATGCCGACGAAGTTATGGCCTACGGCAGTGGAAGCTGCAACGGCGACGCAGCGGGCAAGTGTCCTGGGGTGGAAGAGCAAATTGATGGCTCCTTATGGTGCCCCTGTGCACATCAAGCAGAAGGTGTTTGACTCATCGGGACCACGTCGGCGTGAGCGGGCATTCGAGTCTAGATGGTTGAAAGGCTACTACATGGGACTCAGCAACCTACTCGATGACGGCCATGTGATCTATGTCCCGGGCACCGAAGGCGGCAAGGAGAAATTCATTCACACGTTTCATGTGCGGACCAAGCTGCAGGATCCAGGACCACCTGAGCAAGAGCTACAACTTGGGGATGAGCCTAGGCCCAGGCGAAAGATCCCAATCAAGACCCCCGCAGCAGAGGTCGAAATGAGAGCGCTGAACTTCACCAGGGCGGACTTGGAGGAGTATGCGATCCAGCGATCAAGGGCATTGTTGGACCAGTGGAGCTATGAGGAGGCGCTGCGGCTGGTGGACGAGCTGGCTGAGGCGAAGTTCTTTGATGACAGGACCTTCGGCATATGGAGGCATGGTGGAGCGGTCGGCTGGACAACAGCGTTCAAAGAGTTACCAGAAGTGGCGAAGGTCTTGGCCAAATTGGTAGTGGAGGTGGACTCGGAGGCTACCTTCACGGCTATTTGTGTCATGAGGAATACGCAACGAGGACAACATCGCGATAGCAATAATGATGAGAAGGCTAACAACTATCTTGTACCTGTACGGCTACCTCGTTCAGGAGGAGGCTTATGGGTTGAACTCACTTCAGGGGATCGAGTTTGCGGACAAGTTGTGGAACGGAGTGATGATAAGGGAACAAGGCGCTATGGACAAGTGCTGACCTTTGAAATGGGAAAGTGTACGACCTTCAGCCCCCGCAAACGACATGAAGTTCTACCTTGGGAGGGCACACGCACGATGATGATAGCCTACACGCCACAAGCCATGGGGAAAATAACCCAGGATATGGTTCAGCAGCTTGAAGATCACGGCTATGTACCTCCACTTTCTCAACTACCAGAGTATTTTCTCTCAGAAGAACATCGGGCGCCGAAGGTGCACCTGATCGATGTGGTTGAGGAGAAGAGTCGTGCGCCGGCAGTGAATGTTATCAACGCGGCCGAGGAGGAGGTATATCAGGAAGATCTGACACCCATCGCCAGCGACGTTCAGGAATGGGATATGTTCCTAGAGGTTGAGGGTGGAATGGTAAGAGTGACACCAGAAGCAAAGGCGCTTTTACAACCGAGAGTGGCAAAGGTGGAAGTGAACTATACTCCTGATATCGAGGCTGTGATCAATGGCTTAAAGGGACCGCTTGAAGTTACCCACACGGTGGATCCAAGGGATGCAATGGCTCACCTATCTTTGTGGAAGGATGCTATAGTCAAGGAAATGAACACCGTTGAGGTCGCTATTGCAAGATTGCAAGTTGGGACTCCCGAAAGGCGAGAATGGCTACAGCATCCTCGTGCTCAGCGGCTTCCTACAAAAATGGTTTTTACGATTAAGCCAAACCCCAAGGCGGAATTGAGCGACAGGGCAACGTGGGTGAAAAGGAAGGTTCGCCTCGTGGTCTGCGGGAACTTCGCAGCTTCGGAAACTATGTCACTATATACCGAAGCCGCTCCCTCAGAAGCGGTGCGAACTGGTCTAGTTATAGCCAAGAGGGAGGGCTGGTCAGTGGGGATCATCGACATAGTCGCCGCCTTCTTGAAGACGCCCATAGGTAACGATGTTGGCGATCCAGTTATAATAGCAACTCCACCGAAGCTGTTACAGGAGCTGAACTTGATCCAAGCTCACGAACTATGGAGGCTGGTGCGAGCTCTCTACGGCCTTAGACAGTCTCCAGTCCTTTGGTCGCGGCACCGAGACAGGAGGATGGAAGCTATGAAACTACCAGCGGGATTGGCGATGACGCGAGGACGTACTATCTCCAGTTGGTGGTCGGTCCGGGATGCGCGAGGAAGGTTGTCGGCGGTGATTCTCATATACGTTGACGACTACTTGATCCTGGGACCCCGAAGGGTAATTCAAATGTTGACCGACATGATCCAGCAGGAGTGGGACACCTCAGACTTGAGCATCCTCTCAGAAGAGAATGCAGTGAAGTTTCTTGGGATGGAACTAACAGTTCGGGGCGAGGAGTGGTACCTCAGCCAGCAGGGCTATATCGAGGAGCTCATCCGCGCCTACGAGTTACAACCAGGAGACCAAAGCAGGATTCCGATAGCCAAGGACGACGCAGTCTATGAGGTGTTACCTGATGACCAGCCGCCCACCGAGCAGCTAATTCACCAGGCACAGCACATGACAGGGGAGCTACTATGGCTGTCGCAGCGGTCGCGCCCCGACTTGAGTTTTGGATGCTGTGTTTTGTCGTCGATGTCTACCCGAACGCCAGCGAGAGTCGTTGCTATGGCCTACAAGATGCTCAAGTACATCAACTACACCAGGACCTACCAGCTACGTATAAAGTGGGCCGGGAACCACATGTACCTCTACCCCGATGCGGCGTTTGCGCCCGGCGCAGCAAGAAGCCAGACAGGGTGGGTAATAACCTACGGGGGAACCCCCATTCTGTGGCGGAGCTCACGTCAGTCTACAACGGCATTGAGCTCCGCAGAGGCGGAACTAAATGCCATCCTGGAGGGGAGTGTTGCGATGCTTGGGGTCGAGGCGATGCTCATGGATATGAATGAGTTTGCGGAGGACAAGATCGTAGGCTCAGACTCTTTGAGTGCGTTGTCTTTGTCGGCTGGAACGGGAAGCTGGAGGACGAGGCATTTAAGAATAAAGGCCGCATGGCTTCAGGAGGCCATCAGCAGCGAGATCATCAAGTCGATACACGTGCCGGGGGTCCGGCAACCAGCGGACCTACTCACAAAGGCGCTCTCGGGAGAGCGTATACGGGCTTTGTTGTCAATCTGGGGCATGGGTGAATATAAGAAAACAACCCAAGGAGGAGCGGGGACTACATCTACGGCAGCAGCGAGGGCATTTTATGGCTATGATTTGCTGCATTATGATGGTGACAGTTGAAGCTCAGCCAACCTCAGGGACAACAGCGACGCTTCAGGTGGACTGGGACCTAGCAGGCGTTCTGATGGTGCTTCTTATGGTATTGGGAGCTCTACTACTGTGGGAAGTCGCAAAATGGTCAGCGATCTATGTTTACCAGGAATGGACCCCTGGAGCTTCAGCCCGAAAGATGAGAAGGTTGAGGAAACTTCGGGATGCTACCTCGTTGGCTATCGAGCGGGAGTTGAGCCGGCTCGCAGAGGCAAGCGATGGGTCTACGCAAACAAGGGATCTCAGGACCCCTTCTCTATCACAGAACGAAGCTAACCGGAGAAGGAGGCAGCGACCAAGGACACCTACGCCACCGAGATCTACAAGGACACCTACGCCACCGAGGTCTACGAGGACGGAATCTCAGGAGCAGGTCTTGACGGCATGGAGGCCACAGATGAATCAGCCACCGAGGTCTACGAGAACAGACGCTCAGGAACAGGTCTTGACAGCATGGAGGCCATACATGAACCAGCGACCGAGTACACCACCGATTCCTCAACGCGCAGAAGGGGATCAGTCGCAACAGCCCCCTGCAAGGACACCATCGCCTAGGCAACCAACAAGGGCTATGTCATCACCTGGAGAAAGATGGTCGGAGATGTCTGATTCTGTACCCCCTGGAGAAGAGCTCGAGAGGGTCTGTACGGACGTTATTATGCTGATGAGATGTGAAGAAATAAAGCATGCATTGCGGCAAAGATCATTGCCATCATCCGGGCTAAAGGAGGACATTGGCCGGAGATTGTCTTCTGAGCTAGTGGGGCGAGTTCGAGAGAGCAATGGGCCTACAGTACGGCAGCTCAAGTATCTGCTATGGTTGTGGAGGAGCAGAGACCTATCGGGAAAAACCTTATTGGTCTGGGATCAGCTTCAAGAGCGATCGCACGCTTCCCACACAATCCACCGCTGCAAATTTCTGTGAGAAGTGCACAATCTTCCTAGCGAAAGCTGTGAGGAGGAGTGTAAATACCCAGAGTGAAGCGGTTGCAGTTGAGAGTGCTGTGCGCGCGATCTGGTTCAGGGAACGGCTGCGAAGTATGCCCTTGTGCCAGTCGCATGCATGTGATTCACACTTTGCAGACGCTTACAGTGGATATCACATAAGGGTTGCCAGCAAGACAACCATGCTGAGCAAACTTGTACACAAATCAGCATAGACTTGCATAAGGCTTTTGACCCAGACGTTCTTTTGTGTGTCGGAAAAAGAGAGTGTTGCCCCACGTGCACCACGCCATGGAGAGCTACCGGTGAATTACGCCTGGTGTTCGACTTTCCTGTTCAATAAAACCCTAAACCCTAAACCCCAAAACCCTAGGCCCTAAACCCTAAACCCTAGAACCCTAGGCCCTAAACCCTAGGCCCTAAACCCTAAACCCGAGACCCTCGTCCGATGAGCTTTGGAGTCATCCAATCCCGAACTCCGATCCTGCCCTTCGTTCACGGTTTCGGGTTTCGGGCTTCGGGTTTAGGGTTTCGGGTTTAGGGTTTAGGGTTTAGGGTTTAGGGTTTCGGAATAGGGCTTAGGATTTCGGGTTTCGGAGTTCGGGTTTAGGGTTTATTCGGGTTTAGGGTTTCGGAGGGTTAAGGGTTTAGGGTTTAGGGTTTAGGCTTCTGGGTTTCGGGTTTGGGGTTCGGGTTTTAGGGTTTCGGGTTTAGGGTTCTGGGTTTCGGGTTTAGGGCCTATAGGGCCCTTCATTCATTCCTCCCGCGAGCCCGCCTTCTCCTCACACCACTGTCACCTCAGAGAATCGGTTTTGGGCTGTAGGATTCAGGGTAAAGACATGAAGCTTAGGATTTAGGGCTGAGGATTCCCTCAGGAATTTCCTATTAGGCTTATATATAAGTCTTTCAGAACGCGACTGCTGAACCCGAACCCGCACAGACCCCAAGATAGGGATTTCCGGCTAAACCTCAAGCCGAAGCCAGAATCTCAGCCTCCGAGCAGACCGGCCAAACATGAACAGACACAAACCGCGATCTGCTGCGAAGTTCCACCCTAAACCCTAAATCCTACACCCCAAAATCCTACACCCTGAACCCTAAACCCTAAATCCTGAACCCTGAACCCTAAGCAGCGGCCCTTGACCCACAATGAAGGCCTGGTTCGCACTACCCCGAATAGCTGAGCTCCCTGCTCGCACGCCAGAGGCCCAAGGACATAGACATGCAAATGCCAAATATCCTAAGCTGGTCATTGCTCGCAGGGTTTAGGGACTGAGGATTCATGGTTGTCGGTTGGGTTCGAAGCTGGTTTTGAATGAGTCTACGACAAGGTGCTGATGATGGCGATATCATGAGGTTGATGATGGCAATCGTGGCGATGACGATGGAGGTGGTGATAATGACAGTAAGGGTGGCTGGCTGACTGGCTGGCTAGCTGGATGGATGGATGGACGGAAAAGCGGAGGGATGCCCAGATAGATAGATAGATAGATAGATAGATAGATAGATGGATAGATAGATAGATAGATAGATAGGTAGATAGGTAGATAGGTAGATAGGTAGATAGGTAAATAGATAGGTAAATAGATAGGTAGATAGATGGATAGATAAGTAATTAAATAGATAGGTAGATAAATGGATAGATGGATGGATCGATGGATTGATGGATGGATGGCTGGCCGGCTGGCTGGCCGGCTGGCTGGGTGGGTGGGCGGGTGTTTGGGTAGGTAGGTAGGTAGGTAGGTAGGTAGGTAGGTAGGTAGGTAGGTAGGTAGGTAGGTAGGTAGGTAGGTAGGTAGGTAGGTTAGGGTAGGTTAGGTTAGGTTAGGTTAGGGTAGG